AGGGTTCTCGAACAAAAGTTACTTTCCATGTGTGACTGTACGTTAATTCGTAAATATTTGTCATAATATTTTCTCAAAACTTTTTACGTTAAAAGAAGTGAGCGTGTTGCTACAACTCTCGTAATACTTGCAACTATCATCCGAATATGCCAACTAAGCTCCCGCCATTTTAGATTTGGGGATGTGTGTAAGAAGCAACTCGGCTGAGCCGCGGCCTAGATGCGTTCTGCGAGATGCGGGAGTGGGCGGTGCTCGGGAAGCAGCGCCGCGAGCGCGGGCGCGGACGCGGGCGTGGAGGTGGGCGATGGGCGACGTGGCGTCGTTGTCGTCGCCGGAAGCTTCCAGCCGGGAGAGAGGGCGCGTCGTGCGGCATAAACGCAGCATCCATCAGCCGACGTCCTCCCCTCCCCTCTCCAGCCCTCCGCCTCCCCGCGCCGGCGTAAAAAGGCGCAGCGACCTGGCTCCGCGAACAAAGTCGAGGCGTCGCCGGAAAAAGCGCTGCCCGCGGCCTCTCTCGGCGGATTCGCCCGCGCTGCCAAAAAGCCGCGAAGCGCCGCCCGCGGAAACTTTATTCTTGGAAAGCGGCCGGGGGGAGGAGGGAGGAGGAGGCTCGCGTGCGTTGTGCCAGCCCGAGAGCCGTGGATTTGAGAGGATCGGGCCTAAGCCTCCTTGTGCGTTTTTCAGAGCTCTTTGTGTGTGGTTATTAGGGCGTCGATAGAGCTTTGTACAGGTTCTGTTGTTGCTATGAAGGGAGATAGTATACGATACAACGTAGTTTCGTGTGACAACACCTACGAGAATTATCGTCTTTTGTGTAGTCAAATTTGTAATTAAAGTGGATAGATTTATATCATATATGTCATAACTGTCATATGGGGAAAATTAATTCATACCTTATATATGACATTTCATTTCTTCTACCTTGCTTTTTTGATTAATGTATCGTTAAATTTAAAAACGTGTTGCTGTAAATAAAATTTTAAGAAGAGGTCGAGGCTTCAACATAATTTTAGAGACATACAAGAAATTGTGTTTGACACTTATCCACCCAGAAATTTTAACTTCAACATTAAGTTGTTTGGTTTCTAAACGACAAATGTGTTGGTTGTGGATGACGCATTACTTCGCTTCCAAAGCCTATTCCTGCTTTGTAACATCGAGAACCTTGAGTAATATTTCAAATGAGACTAGTCCGAACTTGAGTAAATACGTTTCTAATAACGTCATGTTGACGGAGAGCGTGCCGTGAAATACACTCGTACGTGTGTGATGTTAGAGATCTTGGGCGTGGAGTGGGGCGTAGTACAAACAGCACGTGCCCGCCCCGGCGAGAGCGGCTTCGCTGGCAGAGGTACTTCCGGGGCCGGCGCTCGCTGCGGAAGGCGGCCGTGATCTGTTTGCGCAGGCGGCGGCTGCGGCGGCGGCCGGGAGCGCTCGGCCGTGTGCGCGAAGCACGCGAGGGGCTCCGCGGACGCTCGTGCGTGCTCGCTGCTCGCTCGTCTGTTGTTTGCAGCGGCGGCGCGGACCGCTGGAAGTATCGAAGGTGGCGGAGGCGCCGAAGATGGAGGTCAAGACTGCGGAGATAAGGGGGCCTCGAGTTGCGTGTGGGGTAGGACGAGGGGGGCAGGAGGGAAGATGACGGAAGAAGAGCACTTGGCTGCGGAAGTGATAGTTGGAAAGAAACTGCGAGAAGAAGAAATAACGGTTGATCGTGATATCGTGATAAAAACGGTATACAAAAATTGAAAATTTAGTCTGTCGAGACTGGGAATTTAGATGATCCAGTGACTACTGTGACTGTCATTAGTGTAAGTATAAATAAGAATGACAGAATCGAAGCTGTGAGGACATGGCAGTGTCCATTTACATGTGACAGAAGATATAGCTATGCAAGAATTTTTTCAAAGGGGAGGAACAGGACATGGACAGGAGTCGTGTCTCATGAGCGCTGCATGACTTTGCTACGCCAATTTAAAGCTGATACATCTACACACGACGTCTTGCAGAAACAATGGATTTAAAAATATGTCTATCTAATTATTAATTAAAATATATTAATTTAATAAAGCATGTTAAATTATAATAGTGTCGCTTCATCATCGGCGAATGCTATTTAGGAAGCGTACATTTTCTGATAGTGTAATAATACCAAAACACGACAAAAAACAACAATGCCGGTATAATGTAATGTAACCAGCTGGTAGTGGTTGGCGCATCCTAAATCATTGTTTGTCTTCCGAGTCAGAGGGCTTTCCGCCAACAAACGGAAAGCAAATGTGACCTGCTCACCGTCACCCTCACCCACTGTCTCACCCCAAAGTTAAATTGAGGACGTTCCCCGCCAAGTTCCCCTAACTTCTCGGATTTGAGCTTCGTGGGTCTGCATCCAAGTAAATTTAAGTTCCTAGGGCTTGTCATATTACAAAGTTTACGAGTGTAGTTGGTGGGCGCTGCAGGGAGCCGCTTTCGGCTGCGTAGGCCGCTCCTAGGCCGACAGCCTACTCCCACTGCGCCTGTCATGCAATATTCCGCCGCCCTTCTATTGTGAGAGCGGTGTCGCTTGCATCGAGAACTGAGATGGTTGCTTAGGAGGGAGGAGGGAGGAGACAGCACGAGGCCCGGGAGGGTCCTGGAATGCCTCCTGGGGAAGAAAGAGAAGTTAGAAAGCTGTTTTGGGTTAGGAAACAACACGGGATAAACATTGCAATATCAAAGAAACAGTGACTATGATAAGAGAAAGTAGCACGAAAATAGAACACAACTACAACGGGTGCAACGGCGTTTATAGCTGCAACGCAATGGTTTCAACAAGAGCAAGAGCATGGTAAACGACAATGGCACTGACTCAACTACAATCAATGACACAGCATCTACAAAAGCACGAAGAGTAACGTAGAGATGGTAGAATCTGCCACAACCGGTGCGTCAGGAGCGAAGGCAGCATGCATCAGTAACGTTTATGACAGTTGCAGTAACAATACTGGCAGTGAAGACAACCGCGGTCGTTGCAGCGATGCCACGGCAACTGGCACAGCGACTGCAAAAGCGATGGGCAGTCTAGTCACGTGATCGATGAGGTGCGGGTAGCGATGGATGTGCCGGTCACAACAGCGGCAAACGGCGGCAGCAAGGTGGCGGCGTGGATCCAACGGCAGCAACGTGCGAGACGGGCGCCAGGCAGCAACGGAAGTGGTAGGTGCGATGGCTGTGACGGCAGCGGTGTGTAAAGACAGCTGTGATGGCTGAGGTGGCAGCAAAAAGGGCAACTAATCACGGTGGTAGAGATGACAGTTGGAGCGCAATCTGTAATGGCAGCAACGCGTAGACAGCGGCGCTTGGTGTGATTGCAGCCACGTCAGTGATGGCAGAGGCGAGGGAATTTGTAGCGGCGACAGCGACAGTAGTGGGGATGATAGTGATGCTGGTTGCGACGGCACCAACAATTTCAGCGATGGCTATCACAGATTCGATGGTAGGATAGATGACTTAGAGAATATGACTCCAATTGGTGAGAAGGGCGATGTCGGCAATGGCAGAAACGGTGACGCTGGCAGCGGTGGCAGTGGTGACGGTGTTAGCGGTAACGGTGGTAGCCGTGACGTTGACAGCGGTGACGGTATCAGAAATATCTGCCGCGGCAGTAATTGAGTTCACGATGGCAGCGGTGGGTCCGATTGCAAGTCACTGGAACAGGTAGCTGTAGATGCAACAGATGAGCATATTCTACTGAAGAGATGTCAGCAATGGCAGCCTTCGCACGTTCGGAAATGTAAGGCAGGTACGGCATCCGAACTTCTAACGATGGCCTGTGTCCTAGAGGAGACGAATGCAATACTCGTATTGAGGTATTGCTGAAAGTGCTACATTTTCACTCATGAATATCATGCCACTGAACGTTCAGGCAGGGGGGGGGCTATGAAAGTATTATTTGACGATGTTGTAATTGGGATGAAATTGAATGGTTTTGAATGATCGTAACCATGTCGATGTCGATGACCAGAACTGTCAGAGAGAAAAAAGGTCGCGTTGAAATTGACTAGAATAATACCACTTAGAGATTGTAACATGTTGGTTCAACTCCATTAATATCGTACATGGTTTAATCAGAAAAACCATGTACCATTAAAGTGGAGTCTCTTTATGAATTGATATGCATTCCCCTTGAGGCTGAAATATTAACAATTTTTAATTACTGTATTTATTCGTAACTATTGGTCATAACTCTTGTCATCTACTTGCATAAATAATTACGACTATTCCCTTTCATGAAATTCACACCAATAGGTTTAACATCTGGTATTCTCTAATCAGGGCGATGAATCTACAGAAATATTGCCTTATATGTTTGATTTTTCTTATCACGTCTCTCTACTGGCATAAACTGTAATATACCAGTCATAGGAAGCAGAGACGAAAGCACATATTTTCTTAATATACTTCATATTTGGCGTGTTCTGAAGCTGTCGGAATGACTTCATCCGTGAAATAGTCTTAATAAATAGAATTCGCGCTTTAAAACTTTCCAATGTACTCTTAGTAATACCTACAATAAATTTCCCAAAACTTACTATTACAAAAGAAGTATCTGCAAATAAAATTATTTTGAGCTTGGAATCGAATTAAGACACGACGTTCGAATGAAAAAGATGGCTAGTAACAATTATCAATTGTCACAGCTCAAATTGAAAAAGTTTTCAAGTTTTTGTATAGTTTCCAACAAGGAGATATTTTAATTACACTTTATCATGTAACTGTTATGATTCGTTCATAATTAATTATCAGTTCTGAATCATCTCCAAGTCATGTTTTTCATTAACTATCATGGTCCTAAGACAACAATTTAGAGAAATCTTTATTGTTACTGTGGACTCGTCTTGGTAACTGGTCGAGAAACTTGATGACTTGAAGACGCTGAGATGACGCTCTCATGGCGATGATTGCTAAATTGATGATTGATTTCATATTCATTTCTAGTGTTGAAATCCCTGTCTTATTGATCTTCACAATGACTGCATGAAGCTACTGTGAAGGTGGGCAGGTAATACTGGTGAAGTTAGCGCAGTGTTCGCAATGGTCGATGAAGTTGTCATCTGTGTTGATGAGAAGTCTTTGTCGCTGACAGCTGTATCAGCAGTACTAGTGACAATAAAGAGAATGTTGACATTTCCGATGGCGATGGCGGAACTGACGCTTGCTGCAGAGAGGGCTCTTATTGGCATCATTGCTGATGATAAATCTGGAAGTGATGGTAATAAAAGCAGAACCCATATCTTGGTTATTACGAAGAGTTGAAGCCACTACATCCTAATACAAGTATCATTTCGTATGACCAGAAAAAGGTAGCGCGCTACCGGCCGCTACGTACAGGGCTAAAACGCAAAGCACACAGGAAAAAGTATCATGGTAAATAGCTTAATCCTAGCTGTTGGAAAAAGTGGCCGGGAGTCATTATAGTAGCAGGAAGGGTCGACATCGGCTGAAAAAATCTCCGGAGCTCTGGAGACAGCGGCGAGATGAGGTTGTTTTATAAAGGACTCGGTTACCCAAGGAGAACATTTGGGACAGGTTGAAGAAGATACTGTGGTTTTACTATTGGTCCTTCTTCGCGGTAATCTCCAATACAAGCCTAATTACTCGTACTTTAAATAGAATATTGTGGTTCAAGTATCAAGCGATATTGTGGTTCACAATGCTAACAATAAAATTGTTTTCTTGTGTTACTATGTGAATCAAATGAAGATTTCGCCATTTGGAAGTGAAAAGAGATAATGGGGAGTTAAAATGAAAACTAAACAACAACAAAAATCGTGTTTTCAAAGAGATTGCGTTTTTTATGATGTAACGTCCGTACGAATAATGTTTGTATTGTTTGCGAGAACTCTGGAGACAGCGGTGGGATGAGGTTGTTTTTAGGAAGCACTGCATTACCCAAGGAAAACATTTGCGGTAGGTAGAAGAAGATAACCTCAGATCATAGGTTTTACTGTAGGTCCTTATTATTTCTAATCTCCAATAGAAGCCTATATATTTTAAATAAAATTTTGTTGTTCGAGTTACATTAGGCAATGTAGTAATTATAATTCTAATAATAAAATTGTGTTTTTCGCATTAATGTGTGAACTAAATAGATATTTTGTTTACTTGGAAGTGAAGTGAGATATTGAGGAAGATTTGGCATGAAAACTGAACAAAAAACAAAATTGAATGACAAGTTTTCGAACTGATGGCGGTATTCTGGTTTGTGCGATTTTATGATTGCATCTTTCCGATCAGTGTTTACATTGTTTGCTTACCTGATTTCTATAGTGTATCTTGAAACTAATGGAATATGATGCCAAGCACATACTTGAAGCAAAATAAGTCTGTGAATAATGTTCGTGTAAGAATTCAATATGATTCTACCTCAAGTGGATGTTCCAACATTTTAGATATCATTTTACCTCAAGCAGAAAGGAATTACTAAAAAAGTTATAAATAATTGTTCATGGTTCTGTGAATACACAATGGAAAGTGCAGTTGGCCCTCGTGTGTCTTACCCCCCGCTCCATAAGTCAAGGAATCAAAAGTCGGGCAACAGCAGGGCCTCGCAGCGAGTTTCTAAGGGCAATTGGGAGAAGAGTCAAAAACACATCCCGTCGAAAAATATATTTTTTCGCTTGGATGTAAAATGAGATATTAAGGGAATGAAAACTGCATGAATAAAGTATAATTACATGCTTTCAAACAGATTGCGGTATTCAGGTTTACGTGATTTTATGAGTGTATCTTATCGAACAATGTTTAAATTGTTTGCTTACCTGACTACTATAGCGTTTTTTGAAACGAATTGAATATGATGCAAAGCACACTAAGTCAGTTAATTAATGTTTGTATAAGAATTCAATATGGATTCTACCTTGAGTGGGCGTCCCGACACTCTAGTCATAATTCTCTCTTAAGCAGAAAGAAATGTCCGAACATCGATTACAAATAATTGTTCCTGTACGCAGTCGACCCTCGTGTGTTTTGTGGAGCGTGGGCAACAGCACGGGCCGCAGTGCAGCGCAGCGCAGCGCAGCGGGGGTTTTCCGAGGCCAATTGGGAGCGCGCGGTGAGGAGAGTCGAAACCGCGGCCGCGGGCGCGCGGGCGGGCGGGCGGCGGGCGAGGCCGCTGACGCACCGTTGCGCGCCTCCTCGCCCTCGGGGGCCTGGGCCGCCAGCGCCTGCAGCTCCTTCTCCAGGTCCACGTGCGCCGCGCTGATGTCCCACGACAGGAAGCCTGCAACGCGGAAACACACACATCAGATGCGCGCGAGGACAAGACTACTCGTGCGACATATTACTGGAAAAATATTGTTGTTGGAAGCGACTGGAAATAAAACTTTACTGTTGTTACAATAAAAATTATAATTACTTACTACTAGCTTATTGGCTGAAATAGGAGGTTTTGAAAATGAGAAGTGAACTATTTTGTCTTCTGTATGGTAAAAATACTCCTTACTGGGAGTTTGTCATTGTGATACATCAAGAAGATTACAGACGGTTGCTGCATTTACGAGTATAAATAATACTTTCATATTTCATGTTGAATTCAGTTACAACTTGCAACAGAGTTCACGATGAAATAATGCGTTTCATGTGATCATTGTAGCCTGTTTTTGTATTCAGTGTACAAATTTCTTTTTTAGTTTGATAATGTGCAGAATATGATTACTTCCGAATTATGCCATCATTCTAACTTACATCATATGATGTTTATCACATAAAACGTTGAGTTAATCTAAAAGGAACTTATTTGGTTAGTTTTCCATTTATTAAGTTTAAAAATAATGTAGTTGTCGAGTTTTTGAGTAAATTAGTTGCTGCGAACATAGAAAAATCTTTACATATTTTCACTTTATACGCGTTTTTTGATCACAATCAGATTGTATAAATTATTATTGAGGTTTACAAATTAATCTTCTGGAGAAAATTTCCTTTTGAATATATTCTTGTATCTGCAACAAGGCAGCAAATTTGCAGAAAAAGCTTATAAATCTTGAATCTACAATTTTTAAACAATAATTTTATTCACAACTTTAAAAGTTTCGAAAATTTATAACCCCGTACAATTTACATTGATGCTCAAAAGTGTTATGCCGTATGAAAACCTCATGGTTTTCAGGCGATGTATTTATTCCAGTAAATCAATATTTCTGTCCATTATATATGATAACCCATTTTTTATTTACTGGGACTTAGAAAGACATTGAGAAAGTCCATTTCAGTTCCGGCAAAGTGCTTGTGATTCTGAAGAATATCGTTGTAATATCGGTGGCATGTTGGTCGTAAAGTGTATCTTCACATTCAAAAAAGTGCCTGAATGAACGTCTGGGATCATTTATATGCAGCTCCCCATTTTTAAATGTCTGAAAGAGGGATTTGGGCATTTTGTAAGGTAATATATATGCAAATTTGTTAGAGATGTTTCAGTGATTCTTTCCAGCATCTAGCCGGAAGGTCATTTTAAATGAAATATCACGCTGCGTAAATGTGACTTGAGATAAGATAAATTATTGTCTGTCAGACACAACAAAAAAGTGAAACTGTTTCAGTCATAAATTACCGTACTAGAGTATAATTTGCAATTAAGTTATAGCAGAACAACATGTTATATCGAAGATACAAACACTATTCTCTTTCGCAATCACATTTATTTTGTATATTGATTTTTACTACACAAAATCTCATATATTTTTTACAAAAGATTGCAAGAACGTGAAAATGCATTGTAACTTTAGGGAGCGTATATGCAATAAGATATTTTCTCCTGCTGATGTGTTATTGCTTTTTTATGTGTAAGCCAATGTTTCTCGAGAAAAAAACGAGAAGAAGATTAAAGAGCTGTGTTATTTCCTGCGGGCTGAATATTGTTAATGTTCAAGCGGAAGTCGGCGCCGAAAACATAAATAAACGCCAGGCGGCGCAACGGTTAATATGCTCTAATGCTCCTCGAAATCTATCACGGCGCCGAGGCGTCTCCGGCGCTGCCATAGGAAAACGATTAACGTCGCAGCGACGGGAAGCTGCGGCGTCCGCGACGGCGGAGCGGAGCCGCCCCTTCGCACAAGGATTTTGCCGCGAGGGGTCAGGGAGCGTTGGCTGACGCTGGGCCAAGACGTCTGCACATAGGGCAGCAAAAATGACAGGATGTCGGCGCGGTGATGAAAGAAGAATTTCAGTAATTATAAAATGAAACGGAAGTGGGAACAAACAGCGGGATGTTCAAGATTGAACAATGCGCGGAGTGGAAAGTACGCGAGATAAATTCAAACACGAAAGGAAATAGGAGAGAATGGCGTATCCGACGAAAATGGGGGGAGCGGCGAATACGCAATGAAAGGCCTGAATGATAGAAAATGAGGTGAGCGCAAAGCAAGTTAACGAGGGCGAAAGAAAGGATCTTTGTCACGCGAGAGCAGAAAATAATGACTAAAACACGCGTTAGAGCATGTTTATTGCGAATGATTTTGCGCTCAAGTCGTAAAAGAACAAGTTCCAATATTGTAGTTAGAATACCGAAGAAGCGCTCGGTCGTGTTTTGGGTGAGACGAAGCTGTGGGAGGAAACAGAAGAAAGGCACTGGCGGTAGAGCTCAGCAGAGCGGTAGAGGTGGGCGGGTGACTGTTCAGGAACACGACACTGAGGGCGAAACTAAGCAGCTTTTGTATGATGTGTGATGGTGAGACTTCTGAGCAAAAAATCTCTTCAAGACGTTTACTTCCTTTTGTTATCGTATTTCTCGCTCGGTTACAGTGAGTTACGTCTTTTGTGAGATAATTTATACTATCAACGTGAATTGTTGATTAAGGGTAATATTGTTTGTTACACTTGTTTAAACAAACGAGAAATTAGGGCGAGTGTCTGTCTTTTTTACTAATTTCTAGCTAGCTGGTTTTTCAGTAATTTTTCCAAGACGCATTATGATTGGTAACTTCTTCCAATTTTATCAGCCACAAATTATCCTATTGAAATATATTTTACAGGTAACTTTATCATAGTGGTTAATCGACCTTTTGCGTCTAAAAACACACCCATTGACAATGGATTTAAGTCGCGATCTCAAAATAATTTATGGTTATCCATGAAAAAAATGTACGTACTTCCTTTCACAAAGGCGATGTCATCCTCTCGTCAACAACGTTGTCGAATATTAAACCTCTTGGAACGCAAATACGTTGTTGCCCTTCTTCATACAGCGAGGACCGGAGTGTTGTGGGAATAATTATATCTGTGCTTGACATTATTTCCGTCATGTAGTTGGTATTCAACGAGCCAGTAGACAGGCCCAACGATAGCGGCGGGTGGCGGTGGCGCCTGCCCCTCTCGGGCCGCATCAGCTGGCGCAATAATTACGTCACATTTGCGTCGGCCAGGGCTGCGCCGCGCCGCGCCGCGCGCTGCAATTACAGGCAGCGATTACAGGGCCGGAGGCTGGAGCGCCGGCGCCCGCGTGTGTGTCGAAGAAGCGGGTAATAAAAGCGCCTGGCATCCGCTCCGGGAGGAGACAAATAATTACCGGCGGTGAATCGGTAATTAGTGGTAACTAGCGTGATTAAAGATCGTTCGCGTAAACCCCTTGGTGAATAATTAATTTTATGGGGGAGAAAGGTTGTGCTTTCATTCCTCGGAAGTCGTTTGTGTGTGAGACTTTTGTAGTTGCTTATATATCCAGAAACCGATTAAGTCGTATAGTTTTTGATTCCAGATTAATATTATAAGTTCACCTCGTTTCTACGAAGTTGTTTGGGCGACTTTTGTCATCGCCAATTCACACAGAAACCAATTTATTCGTATGAGGTATTAAGCTATTTATCTTTTCCTGAATATAGAAAGTTGGAGATGTTAGCTTCTGAGCAATTTAATGAATCATTAGTGAGATGAGCCACATTGTGATTCTGTTTATTGCGAACAATCCGAGCGTAATTCTGAAATGGAAGAAATTTTGCAAGTCGCATGAAATGGGTTCCACACATGCATGTTAGGTGCTCATCCAACTAATTAGGGTTTGAAATACTATGTTGACAACAATGAAAATTTATCTGAACCCTGTGTTCATGTTTTACGAAGTAAGTATTAGAAATGGAATTTGGGAATTTGTAGAAACACTAAAGTATGTATCGTGCTTTCCTTTAATTTTCATTGACAGAAATTCTTTGTTATTTCTGCAGAGGGGTGAAGTCATTAACCGGGTTTTTCAACTAAAGAAGTATTGCTTCCGTTTTCGATAAATATTACTGAATTATTTACAGTTTATTTGAACAATTGAAAATATGTACTTTTTATTGTATTAAACAAGTGTGAAAGTACATCATATTATCGTTTTATGGCACAAACTACTCTTCTCATAAAATAGCATTAAAACATGTTTAGTTTTTTTTAACACCAAAAATATTAAGAGACTAGCATTCTTACAAAATAACTTGGTACGTACATACATTACGATATGTTATGAATATTTGGAATAATTAGTTGGAAAATTTTATTCTGCCCATCGTCTCATTTTATTTATATACACATTATAATATTAGAATTACTTTCGAATACAAAACAAAATATGATTACCTTGCGGGTTGATGTAAACGAAATGCCTAAAACGTATGTCCCTTGTAGAACCGAGAACAAATCACAAGGGAAAGGAATCGGTTCCGGGCAGGAGAAGCCAGTGCAGCAGCAGAGGCATCGCAAATTGTGCAGAAGCCCAATAATTGATTCACCCGACCGACTGTTCTCAGAGGCGATCCTCGGCGCGCAGGTGGCGGCGCGGGGCTCGCCTGGGAGATCTGCTTAATTACGCTACCCGCCCCCTGCACGCGGGGCTTCCGCGGAAACGAAATTAAATTCTCACACAAGAGCTGCACGAACGTTGCGACCATCCCGCGCAATGATTGCACTGACAGCCATAGCCAGCATTATCGCTTGTGAGAGTAGTATGTGAATTCCACGACAACGAAAAGCAGATTATGACATGGAGATGACAAACTCGAGATTCTTTTGGTTAAATCCTATATAGTATAATACGCCCAGAGACACGGAGCTTCAAGGAACAGGTTCACCCTCACCATCATCTCGAACTATCGTTAACACCTTCTATCTATAAACATTACTTATATAACGTAACCATCGAATTAATTTGAATGTGTGTGGAAATTTATGATATTACAGCAAAGATAATAAAAGTCATACTGATTTATATCAGAGTATAGTGCTAAAGAATATTGCGTAAAAGTAAATTTCTGTTAGAAAAAATATATGATACGCAACAAAACTATTCAAAAATGCAATGTGTAACCTAAAGAGAAAAGTTGCATATAATTAAATTTCATAATAATAAGTTTAAAGTGTACTTGGGCATAAGTACTCTTACAAAGTTCATTATTTCTCATGTAAATTATTCTAAGTTATTATTCATAGTTATTCTAAGTACGCCTATAATTTATTCTGAGTACAAGTGTCCTGAAATACATTGCATTTTCCCATTTCGTTTAAGAATAATTTCGCAATATTCTGAATTTAATAGATATTAAAACGATTTTTCTTAAGCAGCCCAAACAAAAAAGCTTATTTATTATTCTGGTTAAAAATAAATTATTCTTCAATCCCATTGTGGAACAACATATTAAATGTTTATAATTTTTAGAATTTAGAATATTTAGATTTTAGAATTTTTTGTGGGATAATACCTTCCCGTCCATTCTTGCATTGTAGTCTCTGATCTGAATATGTCAACAAAAGAGCAAAGGGTGATGAGGATATAACAACTCAATGGGATGCATATTTAGTATCTTACGAGGAAATCACATATCTGAATTGGAACAGTCTGCCATCAAGAATTGTTACCGCTATTTGCCGCGTCCCATATGCGGAGGCTTTGCATAAGAAATCGCGAATTATAACTTGCGACGGGATAAAATCAAGAATAAATCGGGGAGCCATCTCTAACATAGGACCATTCTTGTACACGCAATGATATTTAATATTAACTTAACAAATGAAGTTAATATTACATATCTTAGAACATTAAGAATTTCTTTAGTTTATTAATATTAAAATTAGTCATTTAAGAGAAGTGTTTGAAGACACATTTTTATGCAGCGTTGTCATATAAGCTGCGACAGGGCAGTTTGAGAAGAAATTCAGAGAATTTCATAGTTGGGTGGCGACATACGATATCGATAGGGTAATTGAACTTTATTTACCAAACGGTAATCTTACAATGTCATTACGTTCAACAAAATGATACATTAAACTATATTAAAGTCGAGAAGAATATATATTCAAGAAGTACAGAATGTTTTCTGCGTAAGTTTTACATTTTGTAATGAGATCGTAAGTTCCTATTACTATATTATGTGCATTCATAAGGTTATATATTGGATATTCTTCAGGTATGAATGTTTAATTGATTTGTGAAATTATACTTGCTTGTTTATATAATGCTCTGTAAATGTTGAACAGTTAAGATTTAATTATATTTGTTTCTTAGCGAAATCATAGCAGATATCTACCGAAAGCCCTACGTTGGAATTGATTTGGACTTTTTCATGATATGGCAGAAACTGAATTATATAAAACTATTCCCAACAATGCGAGCAAGTATGTGAGGTTGAATCACCTCTAGTTTTCACAATTTAACTGCATTAAAGCTAGAGCAGCAGGTCACTCATAATTATTCTAACAAAAAAGGGTTAGAAATTGAAAAAAGAGCAAACTACTGCGAACCCAAAGCAATACGCGCTCCTCGGGATACAACCTGTTTCGCAAAATAATGAAGTTGGAGGGGCCTCATGAAGACTGCAAATCGTGGGAACGCAACGAGGCAGTGACGGGCTCAGCGTTGCTGGAGGCGGCGTTGGAGGCAGCGGTGACGGAGGCGGAGGTAGCGGCGGTGAATAGAGCGGCTGGGATGGTTGCGATGGCGACTGCAAACGCAGGGGGTAGTGACGCCAACCACGCGGATGGCGGCGGCAGCGGGGGCTCTGGCGGTGGGGCGGTGTGCGGCGGCGGGGCTGAGGTAGTTTGTCGTGGCGCTAATTAAAACCTTGCTGGGGCTACGTCGTGAACGGTGATTGGCTGCGGTCGGGGCTCTTCGTAACGAGAGCCGCTCTCTGGGTGGGGGGGACTGCGCCTGCAGGGGAGCGGGGAGTGGGGTAAATGAGGGTAGGGCGGAGCTGCACACGACAGTCTGGAGTGAATTGGTTCTGGGAGAAAGAGAAGCAGTGGAACTGAAGTTGAATCAGTGATTTGGAAAGTGAAATAAAAAAGTATTTTTTCAATAGTTCTGATGACAAAAGAAAATGCACTTTGATAAAAACCACAGTTGACATCTTGGACAGTTACGTTCTACACAAAAGTCGTAAAACTAGTCATTATTGATTATCTGGAGTTCTCAGTAACTTAAAATTTGCATTTATGTGATGTACAGGGTAGAGTTTTTGTACTCTGAACTTAGTTCCTTTATAAAATAATTATAAAATATTTAAAAATATTTAATTTATTTATTATAGGACTTGTGGAACAATATATCATAGAATACCTCTATAATGAGGTGAATTCACCGCCGCACTTGTCAGCATACATTTTAAAAACTATAATTTTAGTACGAGAAAATAAATTGATGTTTTTGAAAATAAATTTTCCATTAGAGCTTTTCATTTTCTTATTTGATACCTAATTAATGGTTCATAATATACGGTAACTTCTTTTATTGTTCGGTCTCAAAAATATTAGAAAGATTTGAATTGCTTGCAGTGTCATATTTTGAAATAAATTGGTTAAGAGAACACTTGTTTAAGGTACGCATGTACATAATCATAAATAATGTTTCTTATTATTAGGAAAAGTATTGTCGAAGGTTCATGGCTATGGTTGTACACATAATTTGAAAGCAGGTGAATCCTTCCACTTGTTAGATTTCCCTTCATTTGGTGGTCATTTGATGTATTATTCACGCACTCGTTCCATGAACTAGAGATGAGACATCGACGTCAAAACATCAATGCTTTAAAACATCGATATTTAATGTCATAACCTCAGAGTTAATACATAGCTCAGAAAACATCGAAGTTTTTAAATATCGATGTTTTTAAAGCCGAATTAGTAAACTCAAACAATACAATCTTCCGCGTGGAATATTTTGATTTTACAGTGGCTTTGTTTATTCATTTCTTGTTAGGATGTGTCTGACAAAACAAAGGAAAAAATAATGAACTGAAACTGCATGCCTAAGCACTCTAGATTATCTCAGAGTCAGAGCTTCAGGGAGAAGAAAGGGGAAGGCCCTTCGCCCTGGCTGATTTGCCGGTGCTCATGAGAAAGGCTGAGGAATCGCGGAGGAAATACCAGTGCATCGGCTCTATCTCTCAGGGAATGAATGTAGTTTAAAGACAGTTCGCATCATTTGAACGCATGGACTGAAAGCGGTATAATCAATTATTATTTTATAGTTTAACTTTTACACAATATGATTATAGGACTTTTCGCTCATGGAACATCAATAACGCAAAACCATCGATGCTAAAAACGTTGGCTTTAATAAAGAGATTTTTAAAACATCGAAGGTCGATTATTCATACAATTTTGCTTATTAACTTAGGGAACAGAAACGTCTTTTTTATAAAATACTTCAACTAAAGTAAAATCTTCAAAAACGTTTCTAAACGAAGGAACACTAATGATATATTGTTTCCTATTTATTTAAGAAAACATCACTTGTTAGTTTTTATTTCCGTCGTTTGAAATGCTAGCAGAAATCTAATGCATAAAAATTAATGTTTGTTCGTATTTTAGATGCTGCCTATTGCGATTAATCATTGTCTACTTAATACTTGAACTTGTGCAAAGAATATAGGCAGAGTAAAATGGGAATGTACGTATGTTTGTCGCACATAGACGCACGTTGATTTTATACGGTTATGCTAACTCAAGCGCCCCCGCTCTACGCAACCCGCCGAACCCTCAAGTATTAAGCACGTCTTCGCTGCCTATTCTGCCCCTGCGAATGTGAAATATCGGCAGGGGTTATTACTTGGACATTTGCTCAGACAAGTAAATCAAATTTCTCCAAGACAGTGTCATGGAAAATGCATGCACCAACTTGAGAAATAATGTTTTAACAATATGATGATTGACAACCATGTCCAAACCAAGACATAGGACAACCCTATTTTCGCGAGAAAGTCTTTCATTTATTTAAAGTTTCGCAGAGCGTAGCATAAATCGTGATTAACAATCGCGTGACCAGCAGCGTGTGAAGTGAAATACATTGCAATAGCGAAGTACTGCCGGGTCCTCTAGTTACAAATAAACAACCTCCGTGCGCGTTTGGTGTCGTTTGTGGGGCTGAGCCTCGAGGCGGCGGGTGGAGCCGGGGGCGGGGGGGGCTGACGACTGCAGGAAGGAGCCCCCGTCGCGGGCACTGCCCAGCCGCCCCACCCACGCGCCCTGCCGCCGCCCCCGCCCCGCCCCCCAACCGTCGCAACTGCTGCTGCCGCCGCCGCTGCACTTTCGCTGCCAGCCTCGAATCGACCGAGGGTCTTCCCTGCGCCAATGGCCGGGGCTCGAACCGAGCACCTCTCCCCGCTGCGCCGCGCCGGTGCCCGGGCGCCCCTGCCCTCGTTCCCGCCCCGCCTCCGCCACGTCAATTAGCGCAACGCTCTTCACAAACAGACCGACGCAGACGTCCTAGCAGAGCACACATGCACATGTCAATATAGGATTACAACAGGGTACGCTCTTTCCTTCATTGAAGCGCTATTTTTTCCTATTTACAGATTATCTTCGTAGCTCAGGGATACTGCTCTGATTTGTAATCCTAACGACGATAGAAACAGTTTGTGAGTTGCAAAAAAAGTGACATTTTTTATACATCAAAATAATGATTTAAGGACTTTGAGTTTTCTTATTAGTTTGTAAGCAATTTAAATTAGACTGACGAATAAAATTTGTTTTGCAATGTTTGTAATTCTGTCGTACAGACTAGTACAAATGGCATAAAACGTTTAATAATGTCAATAAAATAGTGACAAATATTATTTTAGAATGTAATATAAATATTATAAAAGAATAGTGATCTGATATAATAGTGATTTCATATAATACAAAAATATTGAAATAAATATAATAAGAATATTAATAACTGCATTCAAGTCAATGCAATGCAAGTCGGATTGAAATAGCTTTCTATTTCAACATACTAAAAATTGTTGACGAAAATGGGCAATGAAATATTCTGAAATACATGTTAAATTATTTAGTTATAAATGATACTTTTTCAAACTTTCTTGAAGATGGAAGAAATATTACCATTTATTTGTATTTTGCGGATATGAAACATTGTGATTGAGCTATAGTTTAAGAAATAACGAATACAATTATATTATGAAATCAGTGTAATTAAATAACGATGAAGTTCAACAACTTTCAATGAGATTAACATTACTTGTTATAAGTAAACAGACTTGCTTTTTAAATTTCAATTTGAGCGCTGATAATAAGTATTCGTTTGATGTTTGTTTTCGATTGCGTGTCCAATGAGACATAATGAACTTCTTTATAACAGAAATCTTTTGAATCAAAGGAAAGTACTCCGAATATGAAATGAACGGTACTACAAACGCTTCAGAAACGTTTTTGAAAGCCTGGTAAAAAAGCAGAGAAATCAGAAACGAGTCTGTTTTGCATTTCGCAGTTTCACATTTGGGTATATTTCTGCAAGAGGCAAATGTATGGCTGGGTCATTAGAAATGTCAGGAAAAATTAAAATTCATGAAGTATGTAGAATTTTAAGATTCTCACCAAAATGATTATGACTATATGGAAAGTGTGTAGGATATATTATCTTTTGTTTTGTCTACATGGAATAAAGAATAAGAAATCTGGCAGAGAAAAATATTCGGATAACTGAAAAAAATGCTTGAAACATGCATAATAAAGTTGAGAGTAGTAATCATTAACAGTGAAAAATATTGAACCAAAACGTTAGCACTACTGTCAATTAAATGTAGTGAATTCTGCGGTAATTTTATTTAAAAGTTTACAAGTTGTCACAGAAATTAAATTAAACGATTTGTTACGTCTGTTAGAAGTACTAAGCAATACATTATTTTGTTTAATGTAGATGACAAAGCTACGTAAAAGCAATAGTTGGCGGTAGGTCATTCAACAGAATTAATGAGCATTGCAACATTTCATATTACCTTATTGAGCAATCTACGTATCGGATTTCAAAAGCAATTCTGGTTGAAATGTCGCATCCATATTAATGTAACGATTTTACTTTCATCATGGAAACAATTTCTTAACCTTTCTATCATATTAAAAATGTTAAGAATTGTTCCATAATTGCCCAAGTGGTTCCTAAAAGTTGCGAAGTCTTTATGGAAAAAATATTTTGACGTTGCAAAAGACTTTTGAATATCTAGAATTTTAGGCGACATTCCCATGCATGGTAACTTAGTCGGAGCTAAATTTTGAGAGGCGTTCACTGAAACACAGGCGACCGGCCTAGTACGCGGCGACTTCCGGTAGCCAATACGAAGTTTACTCCGGCAGTGGAAATGCATAAGACCCCAATATTTGGGTGACTGTTAGGAATATGAAAAATTATTTCATTTCATTTAAAAATAATACTGTATTATTTCATATGTCATTTTTTTAAAAATTAATTCATGTTTTCTATTTATTATAAATTATCTTCGGATTTCACAGTATCTTAGAACTTCTCTTTGGTAGCTACGAATTAAAGGGTGCTCACAATTTTACTTTACCCAAGAAAAACTTCCAAGTTGCATTGTACATCTAAAAACTACACATAATTTTTAATAAAAATGTAAAAAAACGCGAGATATTTTCACAAGAGAATTTAATTTGTAATGAAATACATTCATAATGTTAACACGTTCAAAATACTTGTACATAAAAATACATTGGTTTTTAGAAATTCAATTCCGAAGGTGTAGCGATGTAAGTGTTTTCCTTCCACACTGTGCCCTGCGCGGCTGTGAAGCCTCGGCGGCGCAAAGGTGCGCTTGTTGGCCGAGGACCCGAGAGCGAAGGGACGGGAGCGGATTAGTCTTTAATTTGAAGTTCAGAAACTGCGGGAAGTTCGCCATTATGACGCGCCGCGTGGCCGCGGATTGCAAGTCAAATAAAAGAGGAATTCGCCAGGGGCGGCGGCGGGAGGAGAGGAGGACAGACGCAGCTTTCACATCTCATTTAACGGCGAGGGCCTTCGCGAGACATAATCATTACGGGCGAACGATCTTGGGCGCAACTGTAGCGAGAATTTCGGGAAACTGCCGTCCGGTGCGTGGACTTCGGGCTTCTCTATCGCAGTCATTAAAGATCTGTCGGTAGGTAATTAGTTCTACTTCGAAGTTACGAGACCGAGCTTGAATTACGTAATTTCGCAATTCCGCGCAAACAATTAACATGGAAACATTACTGCTAATGCGAACGTATTCGCGCAATAACTGAAAGTCAACTAGGCAGTATTATTTCATTTCCAGAGTCAGCTGTTTGTTTCGAACCAAATAAACCATTCATTTAACTTGATAACGGTGTTCTATTTTTATTGCTGTTGGAGCAGAGATATTGTGATCTTTGCGCAATTTACATGCACGTGTTCGTTTTCTACATCAATTCAGAGGGCGCCCAAATTAATGCTAATAAAGTGTGTTTAGTACAGTTTTGTAATTCGAAGGTGATAAACACCAGAGGGTGTATATAGCTCTTTCTGAATTGTTCAGTTGATTTTGATGAAAACTGACAATTATCCGAGTTGAAAGTCGATGAGCGGGTATGGAGGGATTCTTTCATTCAGATCCACCGGAGGGGCAACTCACTCATCGATGCAATTTGAGGTTATTATGTGGCTAAACGTCAGTATCATCGGTCGCATTATTTCGCTGCCCACTGGGGACACTGTCGTAGCGATAGACAGTTTTCATGACGCTCAGGTTTAAAATATAAAGCACGGGATGGCAGTGGGTGACTGTTAGCTTTGGGACTTCATACGCGGGTGCTTCATGTCGGAGGACAGACTTGACTAGCGCGGGGAGTTTGTGTTGGTTAATACCACAAACTCTCAAGAAATTCAAGAAGACTAATACAAAATTACATACAATTCATTAACAGCCGTAGAGTAACGTTATGTGAGATTGTATCAATGAATGTCTTCGTAATAAGATGAACTGAAAATTGCAAAATGAGTGTTCAGGAAACTTTTTCAAACATCCAATTTTGTAATCATAACTAATATAAAGTATTCTTTATGCCTTAATACTTTTGTTCGTATCGCAAAAATTTAATGGCAGGTTTTTTCAATACTGTCTTTAAATCTTTCCCAGTGCGGCAAGACTATATCGAAAATTAGTTGAAAATATATATTGCAACGGTGCTTCTCAATTATATACAATAATACAATACTCTGTTAAAGTACAATAAATTATGGTCATGAAGTGCAAGATTAAGAATATAAATTCCAGAAGTTAAAATTTGTTACATTAACATAAGCAGATTATAAGAATTCTTTACATAAAATATTATTGACTTACTAATTATTATCTGTGTAATTCAGAATATATACCGGGAGAGATTGCTCAGGGCATCAATGGATGTCACTGGAGTCGCTCTGAAAGGGAGGTCCTAGTTCGTACCCCGACGATGGCAGGATATCCGACACTAGCTTGTTAGCTAGGTCAAACTCAGTGGCTGTATGCAGGAGAATTCGAGCGGCCGTCTGCTCTGATTGCTTTTTCCGTGGTTTCTTCTATCAACACCAGGCGAATGCCGGAGCAATACTCTAACAAACGGGCCACGGATAGCGCGCGATCTCACCTTCCTCTTCCTTGTCCTATCCTCCCACCCTTACACACACACACATGTCCTCACACACTAACATGCACTACACTACCACACGTGCCGGTTTTTTGCTCTGAATTCTCTCTTCACATCCCGCTTTGTTCTGCAAAATTAAAATCACGTCGGTTTTATTCTCAAGGAAAGGCAGAAAGGAAAACTTGCACACATTTTCTTTCAAGAATACTCAGAATCACAATGAACTGTAGAATACCCTGAATATTCAACTGAGCGAAGTTAATTAGCTTAAATAAATACTGGCGATGCATTTGGACTCGACGCTACAAAGAGGATTCTCAGAGCTGAGATGTAATTTGCCGTCGACATTTATCTTGTTGCTGAAAAGATGGTTCAGAGTTGTAATGATACGAGATTGCAGCTTGGATACTACCCGTTTAAGCAGCTCGGAGTCAACCAACTCTTGAAGAAGGAACGAGAAGATTTCGGATTGTTAGAGTACAACCGATGAAGAAAGCAGATAAATAACCCTCAAGCAAATTTCAGGTAAATTTTATAATGCACAGCACTTTCATTTAACCATTAGCACGACGCTACTCGTCGGTCTGCTTGTCCCAGGCGCAGGTGGGACATCTGTCTTCCGGGATGTCGCCGCCGAGCTCCTTGCTTCTCATGACGTTTAATTAAAACGACGCGCTCTGGGGCCGCGGCGCCTGCGCCTGCGCCCGCTGACCAGGCGGCCCTGTGTCCCAGCGGCGCAGGCGGACGAGGCGGCGCCTTGAGAGGCAGCCGCGCTCTGCGGCAGGCTGCGTTCGTGTACGAACCCAACGAAGGGGAAAGGAGAGGATGGCAAAGGCAAACGGCAAAGAGGGGCCAGCGAGGTGAAAATTTAAACGCGAAGGTGTGTGTTAGTGAGAAAATAAGGCGAAGGCATTGAGGAATGAAACTAAAGAAGGAAGGGAAAGTAGAGCGAGTAAATACAGTAATAGATTCAAATAGTAGGATGAAAGGTGATGCGCTATCATATTTAATTGTTACTCAAGATGCTAAACATTGTAAGTGATGTTGGAAATGTATGCAGCGATTTGACAGCAATGGAGTTAGCAGCTTTGGAGTTAGAAACAGATCTGTGTAAAATCTGCTAATTTGTTGTAGCAGATGAAATCCTTTCTTTTGGAGTTTAAAGTATATAAAATTTCCCTTTTTTGAAAACTGCTAATGAAAAGTAATCTCCTTAGTAAATGGGTACCAGAAATAAAGAAAATGAAACAAGAGGAAAAATTCTTTTTAGAAGGAAAAACACACATTTTTGAACATGAAAGAGACAAATACAAACACGAGAGCAAGTCTTTAATATTATAGTACCTCCAAAAATAAAAAAATTCTAAATGATCGATTTCCCTTACGTATATAAGTCGCATTCTTTGAAATTTGTTGGTCCTTGTTCACATTCGTAATGCAGCATCTGAAAGCTTCCTAATCCGATAACT